GGGTTATGGAGGGAGCAGGTGGGCCTGATGAAATGGAGGGGGAGAGGGCAGGGGGGGATAAGATCGACCTTAAACTATTGATTAAAAATATGATGTTGTGCGAGCGTTGCTTCTGTTGAAGGAATCACTCAAACCGTGTAACTTTATTAATAACAATCATTTGTATTTGATACGGTGCCTTTCACGTCAGGAGGATGTCTCAAGCTGCCTTACATGATGTGTTGTAAAGTGCAGTCATTGTGTGTTTTCTAGGTGACATAGCAACCAACTTGCACACAAGACAGACATGAAGTGACTAAGAAGAGATTATGATTTCTCCAGAAAGGGACTGTTGGCCCACACCAAGAGAAAAACTCCCTTTTTTTTTTCGAACGGTGCCATGGGATCTTTAACACCCACCTGAACAGGTAGGTGGGGCATGGGCTTAACATCTCATCCGATGGACAACACCTCTGACTTTATAGAAAGGCTGCTGAATATCAATTAGGCACGAAGCAGGAGTTGTTTCACACTTACCCACACTTTTCCCCATTTCGCCCACGAAATATACAGTCAATTCACTTTACAGTGTATCCTGTGAAGCGCTTTGAGACGTCTCGAAGACGTGATAAGACGCTGTATAATCCTAATATAATAATAATCCTTGCATTTGATGTAGCGCTTTTCACGTCTTCGAGACGTCTCAAAGCGCTTCACAGAATACACTGTAAAGTGAATCGACTGTATATTTGTGGACGAAACGCGGCAGCCAATTGCGCACAGCAGCGTCCCACGAACAGTCGTGGATTGAAGTGACCAACTTATTATTGTTTGTTTTCTTGAGGTATTATTATCGGGCGTGTGGAGTAAGGAAACTTGCCCAAGGTTTCGTCCTGCCGGGAATCATACCCAGGTCTCTCGCTTGCCAGGTGAGTGCTCTAACCACTGACCTACAGGACTCCTGTAATTATTTTATTGCACTGGTGCCACATCTGATTGCACGCCTCATTGGGGTGGTGCTCATTTCACGGCACTAGCATTTGCGTTCACTTCCTTCGGGCTTCCCACCTACTTGGGGTCGCCTTGGCCTTGCCTCCAACATCAACATCCACAAGAGGACAGTACTCGTGAGGGACCTGATGAGGTCAGACTGAGTCTCGTGTCAGTGGCCAAGGGAAGTGGGGGCTTCGCTTGATATTTCCAAGAGAGGTTTTGTTTCTATTGGATCTAAGCTCTTACAAAATAGGCTGTGGGGGGGTTCCATAATTAACAACAACAACAACAAGAAGATTACATTTGTATAGCACCTTTCACTTCGGGAGGACGTCCCAAGGTGCTGGACAGAGTACAGCATTTCAGACCCGAGCTGGGGTTGGGGGGGGGAAGAGAGCCGAGGGGAAAAGGGGGTGGCCGATGGTGTGGTCGAAGAGGAGGGTCTTGAGGCGAGACTTGAAGGAGGCTAAGGACGGGGCGAGGCGGAGTGATTGGGGGATGGAATTCCAGAGGTTGGGGGCAGAGTGGCTGAAGGCTCTCCCGCCAATGGTGGGGCAGGTGGGTCGGGGGATGTGGAGCAGGTCAGAGCCGGCTGAGCGGAGGGAGCGGGCGGGTTGGTAGGGTGTTAGGAGGTCGCAGAGGTAGGGTGGGGCGAGGCCATGGAGGGCTTTGTAGGTGAGGACCAGAATCTTGAACTGGATCCTCTGAAGGATAGGGAGCCAGTGGAGTTGGGCGAGAGTGGGGGAGATGGGGTCACGGAGTTTGGTGCGGGAGAGGACACGGGCTGCAGAGTTCTGTATTATCTGCAGCCTGTGGAGGGAGGAGTTGGGAAGGCTGACAAGCAGGGCGTTTGCATAGTCGATCCTGGAGGTGATGAAGGCATGAACAAGAGTTTCAGCGCCTGAGGGGTGAGGTAGTAGTGGAGTCGGGCGATGTTACGGAGGTGAGGGAAGGCAGAACCGGTTATGGCTTGAATGTGGGGGAGAAAAGACAGTTGAGGGTCGAACAAGACACCTCGGTTCCTGACTGGCTGGTGAGTTGTGTAGTGTGCAACCATGGAGGTTGATGGTGCCAGAGCCTGAGGTGCAGAGGCACTTGCGTGAGCCAATCAGGAGGGCCTCAGACTTGTTCACATTCAACTTTAGGAAATTTGCCCTCATCCAGGACTTGATGTCCGACAGGCAGTCGGTCAGGACAGCAGTGGTCCCGGAGTTGAGGGTGGAGGCAGAAAGATAGAGTTGGGTGTCATCTGCATACATGTGGAAATTGTCCCATGTCTGCGGATGATGTCACCAAGGGGGAGCATTTAGATATTAAAGAGGAGAGGGTCAAGGACAGAGCCCTGGAGGACGCCAGATGTGACCGTGTGGGGGCTGGAGGAGAAACCGTTAGAGGCAACGAAGTGGAGACGGTGAGAGAGATAGGAATTGAACCAGGCAAGGGCAGGTCCGCGAAGATTGAGTAAAGCGGAGAGGCGGTGTATGAGGATGGAGTGTTTGACAGTGTCGAAAGCGGCAAAGAGGTGGAGGAGGACAAGGAGGCAGAGGGAGCCCTGATCACAGATGTTCAGAATGTCATTAGTGACTTTGACCCCCAGGGCTGTTTCTGTGCTGTGGGCAGCACGGAAGCCGGATTGGAGGGGTTCAAAGAGGGAATGGCGAGAGAGAAAGGAGTGGAGCTGGGACGCGACGACTCGTTCCAGGACCTTGGAGAGGAATGAGAGGTTAGAGATGGGGCGGTAGCTGGAGAGGAGGGATGGATCCAGGGAAGGCTTTTTCAGGATGGGGGCGATGATGGCTGTTTTTAGGGGTGTGGGAACTGAACCAGTGGACAGGGAGAGGTTGATGACATCGGACAGGAGAGGGGCCAGAAAGTGGAGCTGGGAGATGAGGAGAGAGGTGGGGATGGGATCGAGGGAGCAGATGGTGGGTTTGAGCTTGTAGATAGTCGTGGTGAGGGAGGAGGAAAGGATAGGGTAAAAGGAGTATAGAGGAGGATGGGTGGGGGGGGTGGGTACCCTCGATTTTAGATTAAGGAAGTCAGCATCTCCTCACAGTTGGAGTTTGAGGAGAGGATGGGCGAGGGATGGGAAGGTGGACAGAGGAGATGGTTTGTGGTGGAAAAGAGAAACCAGGGGTTGTCCTTTGCCTCCAAGATAGGATTTGGCGGAGGCGAGAGTGCAGTGGTAGATCTTTGTGTGGTGAAGCCAGATCTGCCGATGGACCGTTAGTTTGGAATTGGTCCAGGCGCGTTTGGCAGCTCGCACTTGTGCCTTGAGGGAACGGAGTGGCTGGTGTACCAGGGGGATTTACGGGAGTATGAGGCAGTTTGGGAGGTGAAGGGGGCAAGGGAGTCAGAATGAAGGAGAGGGAATTGTGGAGAAAGGAGAGTGAGGAGGGGAGATCGGTCAGTGAGGGCCAGAGGTGTAGGAGTTCATATGACTCCAGGGCAGTGGAGAGGGAGGAAATTTTTTTCCATGGACGGGATGTAATGGTTGAGGGTTGGGAAGTGGGAAGGGGTACAGAGGTGTTGAGGGAGATGAAGTGGTGGTCCGAGATGGCTTTATCGATGATGGTGATGTCCGAGATGGTGAGGCCCCGGGTGATCACCAGGTCAAGAAGGTGGCCACGGACGTGGGTGGGGGAGTGGATGAGGAGGGAGAGGTTTAGGGAAGAGAGGAGTGGGGAGAAATTGGCAGAGGTAGAGCAGGAGGGGGTGAAGTGGAGGTTGAAGTCACCTAAGATAAGGAGGCATTCAGAGCAGAGGGAGAGGGAAGATAGGAGGGTGGAGATGTCCGAGAGGAAGGTGGGGGAAGGCTTGGGGGGACGGTAAACAAGGAGGAGTTTGAAGGAAAGCCTGGAGGGGTGGTAGAGGGTAAGGTGTTCAAAGGAGGGGAAGGTTCCGGAGGAGTAAGGGGGAAGGCCGAGGGGGGACGGAGAGATGAGAGCCACACCACCGCCACGGCGATTAGGCCGTGGGGTTTGGTGAAAGGTGTAACCTGGAGGTGTGACCTCAACTAGTGGGAAGGTGTTGCCTAGGGTGACCCAGGTTTTGGTGAGGACGAGGATGTCGAGGGACTCGACGGTGAGGTCGTGAATTGTGAGGGACTTGTTAGTTAACGAGCGAACGTTCTGCAGACCGATGCGGAGGGGACAGTTAGTGGTGGGAGCGTGGGGGGGGGGTGAGGGGGAGGAGGGAGTGGGCAGGCAGGTTGGATGGGGATGTGAGTGAGGGGGGGAAAGGTTGGCTCCCGTGAGTGAGGGCCGGTGGGCAGTCAGGGTGGGTGCTGTAGGACAGCCAACGGCATCTACCACGGTGGGCACGACGGAGAATGTGAAGGGAGGAGCAGGGTGGGGGGCCGTGGGGGAGTCAAGGAGGAATAGGAGTCGGGGCGGGCGGAGGGAGAGGAGGGTTAACACGTTTTGACACAACTTTTGTTGACAGTAGGGGGAGATATCTGAAAAATGGGTGTCAACGTCTATACCATTAAATATAATAACAATAATAATCATTGCATTTGATGTACAACGGTGCCTTTCAAGTCAGGAGGATGTCTCAAAAAGCTTCACAGGATTTATTCTAACGTACCCTAGGGTGTCTTTCGTAGGCAATACTTAGAGCTGTTTGAAAAGTAAGAATGAGTTTAGTTGCTTTGAAATGTGAGGAAAATAATCCATTACTGGCAAATTTATAATTAGGTTTAAGGTGCCGTCTTATCGCGAGTTAAAAGCCTGAATCATGTTTAGAAAGTGAAAGCTCTTAAAGCGTCCTTTCCGAACTACATTCCATCTAATGTGAGTTAGCACGGAAATCACACTGCAGCACTAGTTCGTCTTGTCCTGCGGTGAAATCCCCGTGGAAAACTAAAGTAACGCGGCACATTCCTTTTAAAGCGCGCAGGTAGTTTTGACAGGTATTGCACGGTGGTGTTGTTTCTGGAGGCTGCGAATAGGGCAATGTTCGTATCAGCTGCTCGTAACGACAAAGTACTGTGAGCACTCCCAAAGTGCACTGAGGCACCTGGCAGATGGGAGTGTCATGTTTCCAGCCCGAGACTGCCTCTCAGTTTTTCGCCGCTAATCATTAACTTTCTCCTGAGGCTTTTCCCCATTTTAGAGGTGAAGTGAACTGACAGGTAACTCTTAATAGTTGTCATGTGTCCTGGAAGGTTAAGTAAAGGAATCCTTGAGCACCTGGATGCTGCTGTCGACCTGTACGTTTCTTAAGGTGGGTAAAGGTTCGTTGACTCGAACTGTTCACAGTTGTCCTGATGTTTCTTCTCATTGTTTGAGTGTTACGTTAATGTTTGAAGGGGAAAGTCAGAGCTTGAGGCTAACTAAATCAGTCGGGTGATTCAAGAGATAAGTTACGCAAAGACATTTAAAGCAGCGACTGGCTAATTGGAGACTTTCCAGTAACTTGAAATCATTCCATACTGCTTCGGACTTTGCTATAGCCTGACATCATTGCATCAATAATTCATGGCTAAGATTCAGGTTGAATGCTTCCGTGAATTATGCGGAAGTTTTACCATCTTTTCTGTTTAAACAGAAAGGTGATGCAGTCTACTTTCAGATCTACATTAAGTACACCGTAAAGGGTTCTGATAACACACTCTTGCTTCGAACCTGACCGGTTTGCGTATGACCACAGACAAAGGCTAAGCTTCTACTCGTGTTACATCATGGTGAAAATTGTGGTTTTTAAAACAAAGTCGATGTGTTAATTGACGCATCAGCAGCTCAAACTTTCTAGTGATTTAAGCCTTTACGCCATTGACTTAAAATGTAAAATCTTGCACAACATTAGCTGATTCTTAAATCCATTGTGATTTTGGCAGCTGTTGTGCGTAAGTTCTAGTCATTAAGAGCAAGTTCCAAAATTCTGCTCTTATCTAAAATGTTACCACCATGGTTTTAAGGCTTTGACTGTAAGAATCTTCAGACCTCAAATCTGTTAAGAAACATCCGTTTTCACCTCAATATTTCTTAATATTCTTCTGAAAATGTGGCGCTTTTCAAAAAAAATAAGTCAACATTCCTATTGTTCTGACCTGTCTGAATGCCACAACGAGCTGCAACTTGTGAAAGAAATGCGATTGCTTCCTATCGGGTTGTGCGGTGGGTGTATTTTTTGTACCTGTAAATGTTTGAAATATTTCCTTTCAGTAAGCTTACCGCCTAGTGCCAGTTGTGAATTTGAAAGTTAAGCAAATTATTCCACAAGGAGTGAGAACTTAGAAAAGGGAGAAACCTTGTCACGGGTTATGGACTTCAGATTAACACATATCATGATAATAATAATCCTTGCATTTGATGCAGTGCCTTATCACGTCTTCGAGACGTCCCAAAGCCCTTCGCACTGTGACGTGAATTGCCTGTATATTTTACGCGGCAGCCAATTGCGCACAGCAGTGTCCCACAAACAGTCGTGGATTGAGTGACCGCATATTTTTATTTTATTTTGTTTTTTTACGGGATTATTGCCCCCAGAGAGCAATCTGCCAATCGCCTAACAACCGGGTTCCTACTTACTGCTGGGTAAACCAAGGTTTGAGGAGTAAGGAAACTTGCCTAAGGTTTCGCCCCTCCTGGGAATCAAACCCAGAACCTCTCGCTTGCGAGGCGAGTGGTCATATCTTGTGGAAAAGCTAGACTATTATAACGTTGATCAGTGCCTAGATTGAGGTACACCAAAATATAAAGCAAAGTTTCACCTTCACTTTGTTTAAGATGCTGACTCATGGGGCATTGAACTTGGCAGTGATTGTTGGCAAGCTTTGCAACTGAAGGGAATATCACCAGCGAGTGTAATCCTATCCTCATCCGATTTCTACGACAGGGATCACAAAAAACAATCTGAAGGTAGAATCCTAACTGATTTCCCCCTCGCAAAGCGAGGGGCAAGGATTCTTTTTGCTGTTCCACCAGAAATCAGCTGTCTCGATATAGACTGGAGATTGGCTTAGGCTCCTGGTTGGTGTAGGTTGATAGTCCATTGGGAAGTACCTTTCTCAACCAAGTCACCAGTCGCACAGAGGAATTCATTTTTTAAGCTGAAAGCCGGAAATATTTCTGTACATTTCAGTCTTTAAAAGGCTAAGGGACATTAATGCTACTTGTTGCAAATAAATTCGCCCACAAATATACAGTCAATTCACTTTACAGTGTGTTCTGTGAAGCGCTTTGGGACGTCCTCCCGACGTGAAAAGCGCTATATCAAATGCAAGGATTATTATTATATTATTATTATTTCAGTTCAATAAATTAGGCAATGCAGGTATTCTTTTTATATCCCCATTGGTTTACTGAAGCTGTGTTTCACTAGAGTTACGTTCACTTTTAGTCAAAACAGTCTTATGGTAAGATCCTGTGTGTGAGGTTGCGTTGGTGTGATTTTATTGTGCCTAAATGTTATGCATTTTACGGGGCACACTCCAAAATTGCTGAATTAATTGTGAGAGTGATCATTAAAATGCTGATATAACTATTAATATGGTATCTTATCCTGTAAAAATAAAAACATAGCGTGCATGGTGTATCGGGAGACACAGATTTCCCATTGTAACAAACTCTCTCGCCTATCGTTTATTTGCTTATAACAAGTTTCATTTTCATTTTCACTGTCTCTAAACAATGGGATTCACGATGGGGATTTTCTCCTGTTGTCGCTGGTGAATTAAAGGTGTGCTAAGGACGAAACTTGATTTAATGAAACGTAAATGAAGCCACTATTTTTACTTTTGAGGCACCATCATTATTCTTCACCGTAGGGTTAACTGCAGCAGTGATACCAGAAACGTAGTCCTCGATGGTAGAACAGATGCATTAAAGCCGAGTGAGAAGTTGGTGTCAGATGGCATTTACGTCACTATGGCCAATTACTGTCAGCCTGGTTGAGTTGGTGGCTCTCTTAGCTCTGAGAGAGGCCCCATATTGGGACTTCGAACTCATAGTCTAGGTTGATATTCCAATTTATCACTGGGGGGGTGCACATGTTTTTGGAGGTGTCGTCCTTCCTCTCTCTCCCCCTCCTCCCTTCCCCCTCCTCTCTCCCTTCCTCTCTTCCCCCTCCTCTCTTCCCCCTCCTCTCTCCCCCCTTCTCTCTCCCCCCCTTCTCTCTCCCTCTTCTCTCTTCCCCACTTCTTTCTTTCCCCCCTTCTCTCCCCCCATCCTCTCTCTCCCCCTCCACTCTCTCCCTCTCCTCGCTTTCCTCTCTCCTCTCTTTCTCTCCCCTCCTCTCTCTCCCTCTCCTCTCTCTCTCCCTCTCCTCTCTCTCATTGACCCCTCTCCCCCCTGTGCCCCCCCCCCTCTCTTCCCCACTCTCTCTCCCAATCTCCCTCCCGAGCTCGTATCCCTATCTGCAGCGGTAGATTGGTTCCTAAGGACACGGTTGGTAAGAGAGGCGTTTGCTTTCCTGACAGACCGCAGTAAAGGCTCTGCGATTGCGGTGCATCCTTCCAACCACCGGATCCTGCCGCTGCCCTGGGAGGACGTCCACCAGAGAGGGAGGGAGGGAGCGGAAGGGTGGAAATGCTCGGGGGCCAGATAAAATCAACCGCCTGTTGGATCACGCTGGCTTAGACTACGTGAGTTCAAGTCCTGACCTGGGTCTCGAACCCACAACCTTCTGACTCGGAGGTGAGAGAGCTACCAACTGAGCCAGGCTGTACACAAAAAATGCGCAGAGATATAAATCTATATTGGAGGGACAACTCCAGCCAGCATGGACAAAGCTGGGATGTACATCACTGCAATTTTTGACAGAGTCCGTAGAAACAACCAACCCATCTCGCTTTGGGTTACAGTCCAAACTAACAACCTGAAGCTGGAGGGAAAACTCTTTCAACTGCCCTTGACCACAAGCTCTGTCACAGTTCACAGGCTACACCGTTTCGAGATACTTGGACATAACCTTTTGACTGTCCTGCAAATGCTACGGAACGTATAAATGATCATGCTCAGTTTGTTCCAGACGACCTTGGTAAATAACCTGCAAGGAACGGGTTGCAATCTGTGGATGTGTAAATATCGTTGTCAGCTGTTCGTGATGATATCATTGTGAGTTACAATTACTTGCATTCTTCATATGGTTGTGATAAGTTTGGGAGGCATATTTATATCTCTGTGTATTTTTTTAACGTGTGTACACTTGGCTTTGCTTTGTACGTGGATACAGTAGATATAGTAAACTCTTGATCTACTTCTATATCTATAAATACATTCATAAATGCAGCTGGGATATTGACAATGTGATGTCTTAAGTGGTAGTTGTGATAAGTTAGGGTTCAGTTACTGGGTGTTTACAGTATAGGGATTACCATGTCGTTAACGGCATTATTTATACAGCACCCTTGACATCAGGAGGGTGGCTCAAAGAGCCTCATAGATTTTATTGTAAAGCACAACGATAATAATAATAATAATAAAAATAATAAAACAATAATAATCCTTGCATTTGATATTGCGCTTTTCATGTCTTCTGGATGTCTCAAAGTGCTTCACAGAATATACTGTAAAGTGAATTGACCGTATGTTTGTGGGATGTCTATTTTATAGAGGAATGCTGCAGAAAATTTGATGAACGCAGCAGCCAATGTCCCAAAAACAACCAGAGAAACAATATCAGGTTTTAGTGAAACACAAACAACACACTGTTTTAATTAATTCAGAATTTCTTTGTAAAATGAGACACTTTTTTCTTTAGGTATGACTAAGTATTTGAGCGTCAGCCTGTTAATACTCCTGCCGCTGAGTCAGGAGGGTTCTGTGTTTCAGCCCCGTATCAGGACATTTTGTCTCGGCTGACACTCTGACATCCAGGGAGAGAGTGTGATTCCATTCCAACAATCTTTCTCTGGGATTTCCACGTGCAGATAGGATGCACGGAAATCTCAGCTTGGTTTGGATACAGTGCATGAGCCAGACATCTGGCTGACTCCATTTTTTTTCAAAAAAAAATGACAGTATTGGGAAGTGCTGCACTGTTGGTGGTGGCGTCCCTCAGACGAGATGTGAAATCGAGGAACTGTCTGTCTGTTCGGTATTCGAAAACAGAAGTGAGTTTGTCCTGGTGTCCTGGCCAACAATTCCCAGTTAAGATTGGTCACCCATTTCATGGTTGTTTGTGGGGCGTTGTTATGTGCGAATCACCACTATAGCCTATAAATACATTGTTTCTACACTTTACAGTAAAATCCTGTGAAGCGCTTTGAGACGGGTTCAACT